TCATCTGTCCCTAACGACAGGCTTATGTTTTACTTTGAGAACTAAAATTTGTTATTTGCTAACGGTCATTTTTTGATTTAATGCATATGTGCTTCGCACATAACTGTTTGCAATATTTTTCTTCAATAATCTGCAATGGAATGCTCGAACGTCTTTACTGTGGTGCTTTAAAGTTACATGAAGATCCACATATTCGATCTTCGATTTCTGATCACCAGCTTCAGCAAGTCTTTCGCTTGCTTCTTAATTTATCGGCTCTCCTTCATAATCCTTGTAACCGAAACGCTACTGTCTTTTCTGTAACCACCTTCCTTGTATTATGACACATTATGTTGATGATTTCCACTGCTTCTCCTGTTTTTTCTTTATGCATTCCGTGAAGGACGTTGAATCGAATATTTAATTTCAGTTGGAATTATGGGAAAATTTTCTTTAGTTTTTCCACATCGAGTATTGTGAGTTTCGTCCTTATCAATTTCCGTTTTTCTCAAGCTGAGTCTAACCGCACTTTGTATCTGTAATATTTTCCTATATTAAACTTCGTCCGCAACACCGCCACGCCTAGAATTGCGTCTTTAACCTCGTCTTGGCTTTTCCATGCTTTTTCTGAAAAACGTTGTCCATAAGAAATAACCTATTTTCTCCAGGAAACTCCATTATTGTTCCCTCATTCGTAACCGAAATGACCCACAGGTCATTTATTACCTTGCTGCGATCGGCTTTAGCACTGAAATCGCCAGTAATTAAATGGCTCCTTTCATCGTCGACTTATTTGTAAAAATCTTCAATCTCTTCTTCAGAATAGCTGGATGTCAGCTCATAAACTCTGGTTGTTGCTGTCACCGTCATATGAGGTACCAGGGTCAAGGGCTGAGTACCAAGACTAACGATGTGTCACGTTCTGGCTTCTCAAACCTTGAGTTCGCATCTCTTCGCAACTCTCAGAGCCAGTCATGCACACCTCTCTTAAGTTATATCCACCATTACTGCATTGCTCATTAATATTCTGTTGTTCATGAACCATTTTTCGCTTCTGTAGAACAAGAGATATCCACTGTTAAGCTGAAACAGTCCCTCCTATTTTCGTCTAGCTTCACTGAGTCTAACTATATCCAACTTGATTTTCCCTTGTCCTTCTTCCAGGTTTTGAAGCCTTGCTTCCCCTAAAAGCGATCTTCAGTTTACGTTGCCAGCATTAGTAATCCAAAGCAACTTCGATGCGTAACCCGGGTGTTCTTAGCACCTTCTGCTTTCATGCCTGACCAACTGCTGCCTTCGTTGTAGTCCATCTAGCATATGGGGATTGAGGGACGTGGTTTCGGTTATGATTTCATTTTTGAGGACATGCTTATCACTACGTTGGCCGCGCGAGTTGGTGAGTGTTGCCTCTCGCACCTAGCCGGGCACATTTCTAAAGCTTTTACAGCATGAGTGAACCTGCCAGTGCCTAGAGGCTCAATTGCACATCATCTTAAAAACCCGTCACTTCCTACCATGTTCAAGTAGCGGAAGTAGGACTTATGGGCGTTAGAGGGCAGGCTCAAAAGGTAAACGACATCAACGGATGCTATTATCTGGTAGTTAACCGTAAAAGCATACACTATTTCTCTCTAAACCATGACCCTTGAGATGTAATATCTTGACAAATTTATTTTACTGCGTAGTCCATAAGACGCAAGACAGCCAAAGCTACAAAGTGTGCGTAATTTCATTACCACAAACGATGGAAATGAGAACCCTTAGGTATAAGGAAAAATGCATATTGTGAATGGCGTAAAATCAGACGAAGTAACATCATATCAGTAACGGATATACAGCTAAAACAAACAAATCTGTTACGGCATCATCACAGTCACAGGCAACCATGTCAACAAATTCTAGCTTGTTGCTATAAATGAAAGCGTTAAAATTTTCTAAAATTGAGGGGAGTACTTAAGCAAAGTACCTCATCGAAATGTCCCAAGTCTGTCAGTTGGGCGCAGTTACAAACAGAGCGAAGAGAGTAAACCGTCAATGTTTAGTCGCCACAATCGCACCATAGAAACAAGCACCTTTCAATCAGACTTAGATGAAGCAGCTGAAAGCCATCTTTTACTCGTAGGAAAATTTCCTAATGAAAGACATTAAGCTGACATTTACAAATGATTTAAACTCATAATCCAAGGCTTTGAACAATAAAAATACACTCAATACCTTTCAATGCTTTTGATTTGGAGAGTACAAAACATGCTCGTTATGGTAAGATGTTATTCTTAATACAAACTGTAAAAGCTTAAATAATACTTATAATGTGACGACAGCATTCGACATATCAGTCGCATCCCGGAATAGATAAGACATTCATGCATCCCTATATAAATTCAAACTATGGTAATTACTGTACATCATGATCATCATACAGTAAATCTTCTTTTATTTGGGCGCATTACTTCGAAAAATTCGTTTTTCGTTTAATTATAGGGTAAAGTTCATTATGGCCTTTAATAACTTTTATTTGAATGACGGTATGGAAAAAAATATGCTGAATGACTAAGATTAATTTTAAAAAAAAATCAAGTGCACGATATATGGTATGGCTATTCTCTTAAATGCTGTCGAAGTATGCTCTGGTTGCATAAACGGTTTAAGGTAATGGTGTCAGCAAACAGCAGCAGTAAATATAATCACAGCTCATTTTGCTAGGCCTTCCAAACCAGTTTTCGAATTTTCTTTCAATAAGGCTAGAGACGAGATGCACATCAGTAAGAGAAAAGGACTGGATAGTTGGGCAACATCTGAAGTCGGTCTTGCTTCACTTTCATGACTGTCCCATTTTTGCGCCATTCTTTTCATGAGTTTGATAAAGCGGTGCCTATCTCTGTCCTATGCCATCAGCCAAGAGCATCTTTTTGAGTTACAGCCTGCAGTTATGTGACAACCGTAGCGTGTAGTCTCCTGTTTCCTTCCTATAGGATGACACTCATGTATTAACCTTGGAAGAAAGAAGGGCGAGTGATTTCAGCCGGGTTTTGAACTGGAGACCTATCGGTTCTGAATTCGATGGCCTACCGACTGATCAAACCCGATCTGAAACAGTGGTTGGTAAATTCCTTGTTCAGATGAATCCGTGAGTATTATGAAGACATCTCTCGAGCAGAATCCAACCCCGCACCTTCATCAGTTCAAAGCAGACCTCTTAGTAAACCATGACGATACGCTATAAGCATAAGGAGATGAACTGTGTTGCTTTGAACTGATGGATAGTCAGTTTTCGGCTAAAGTTTCCAGCCCTCCTCACCCAAATGGTTAAATTCCCAGATTCTTTCACTTTTTTATATTAATCAAACGACTGATTGTGTCAGCAATTGCTGACCTTAGTTGTTGTTCATGTCGCTCGCCCTTGGCGTCAAGCCTTTTTGGGTTTGTACGCGATCAAAGCTTATTTTTGGTCTATTTGTCCTGAAAAGCAGATCTGTTTATTGGTCTTGTTGAACTTTCATAAAATTAAATAAAATACAAAATGGTCAAATCAACGAAAAATATATACTCTCTACCACAACGGTAATAACGTCGAGATTCAGCGTCAGTAAAAGTATTCGCTTTTGAAGTTTTTCACCATGCTGCCATACTTGTTGTGAACAACGCATGAATAAACGCCCTGGTCTCCAACGGTTGCAGGATCGATCTCGATTCTGCTGCGCTGTTTGCCGTCAGGTTCGGTCTGTTCTTGAAGCTGAAAAAACAATTAGCTGTTTATTAACAGCAGCATGCTAGCAGCAAACAAGAATGTACGTGAATGTTGTACTTGTACACCAGCTCGGCCCCATCCTTGTACCAGGTAATAGTCGGCTTCGGGCTACCATCGGCGATGCATAAAATGTTGATTTTACCTCCCAATTGGAAAGGTTGATTGAAGTGCGACGCTTTAGTTATCTTCGCCCCCTGTAAAGAAAAGTATATCAAATTATGAGAGAGAGAGAGAAGGAAGGTCGCAAGAAATGAAATACGCAGAGGGGTCATGGGCACTGAAAGATGCTTAATAATTGCGCGCACACAACGTCATTAAGGCAGATAGCATCTATATATGAGTCACTCATGACGAATGAAAATTAATTGTGGTTATCAAAAAGCGGAGAGGAACCTGTCTTCGGCTATGAACGCGGAACCACGCAATTTGGATATCTGAACATAAACTTTGGAAAATTAAATGATGGCGAAAAACTGATATTAATAGCAATCTTTACTTCAGACATTGATAGGGAAGAATGATACATGACTGTCAATGTATGATATCATTCACTTTTCTCATGGTCGTGAGAAGCACCACCATCCTGAAACGTGTGTTGAGCGTGAGATGAATTTAAAGAACGAAACGATGCGAAATGTATCTAGCACCGCAGGAGCTCAGGTACCATAAAGCCCTAACCTGCACATCGTATTCCCCGTACAGTTGGTAGTGAAATACAGTAAGCCATAAATTCTAGTATCAGAGGATTTATGCACCAAGTAAAGGAAACTCTATTGATTACTTTTTATGAACTACTCCTTGCTTACCAAACCAAGACACGATCAGTTATTCTCTTATTTTTTCATTTGGACGAAAAACCTTCATCTGCACTAAATTAGTGGTTTGACATTATTTGTTGTCGCCAATAGGAAAGTTCTATGACGTGACGTTGCATAAAACTGATTTGAGCATTGCGAATTGAGCCAAAGTTATGTCTGCCGTTTATTAATCAGCCTACTACTTGAGAGTCCAGAGGAGGAGCATGAAGAATGATCGACAATATGGTTTTTTGCAGACGTGAACGGAGATAGGAAGTACCTGCATGGTTTTCAAACTGACTGTAAAAGTACGTAATGAAAAGTACATAAAAAATGAAAGCATTAAATCTTTTGTGGCATAATGACAGGGGTTCGTTGATTTTGCTATTCATCACAGGGCAATATATGTTCGTTCTGCACATTTTTC